TTCTTTCTTTCTTTCTTTCTTTCTTTCTTTCTTTCTTTCTATCTTTCTATCTCTCTTACTTTCTTTCCTTCTTTCATTCCTTCATCTTTTTCTTCCTTTCTCTCCAAGTCTTTGACCAATGCACACCACTCTCCAACCCGTTGCGTAAGAAAGAACAACACAAATAAAAAAGTGATTTCAGGTGAAACTAGATCTTCTCACCCTTCTCTTTCCTATTGAGCCGAGGACATCTTTACCAAACAGATTCGAGAGTAATATAATCAAAGCGAAGATGAAGGTAACAACAAGTATGAAAAGAATTAGCGTTTGCCATCCGAATCCCTGAAAGAACTACTATTTTAATTACATTATTTATTTTAATTACAGTTACAACTTGTTTCGATACCCTTACACTCACCTTATAAATAAACTGAAAGAAAACACTCCGGTCTACCCATATGAAAGATGAGGCGAATATTGCGGCGAAACCGAAACACTAAATAGTAGACAGTTATAAAAAATCAAAGTATTACTGGTAACATTTCATAGCCCAACAAGCGGACTGTGTTCGATTCAACTACCAATTCAGTAAAAAGAACGTTGGTCCCATGTTTACTCACCCTTCAAGTTCAAATCTAATCAAAGGCAGAGTGTATGTGAACTTTCCACCTGTGTCTACATATGCACTTGTTATCAATGGTGTTGAATTGACAGTAGCGCTGTTTTTCAGCTGTTTGACTACTTTGCAACAGCATTCGAAGCTTGCAAGCAAAATCCTAGGCTTTTTTGGCTTTGGCCAAAGACATCTGGATTCCTATACGAAAGGCAAACGCATGGCGCGTCTAACTGAGCCCAAAATCACTTTTATTGCAGAGTGACCAGAGCTCTATATCATGGAAAAAAGCTTGGCGAACTTTCCAGTTCGGTTGAGAAATCTCAAAATATCAGTAGAAGTGAAAGAGTTTAAACGGATAAAGCATTAGGTGCTGATTAGCTTTTTTTAGAGATAAGCCACAAACTCGTTTTCCTCGTGTGATCATGGCAAGTTGCGAGCTCTTGAGGTTAATCCCCAAAAAAACAGTCCGCCAAAAATGCTATCATATCGAAAGACGTTTCTTGATGTGCTGTGCTGCAAAATCCTTCTCCTGTCACTGTTTCCGGCTTTCTGGGTTGGGAATTTCCTGATTTACTTCCGGCAATTATGGTAAAGCTGTGGAACATACTAGTACATACAATAGGTCAGAAATGTACGGAAATTCTAATTTGAGACTGAAACATTCGCAAGAAACGTGGCTTTTTCAAGCATTCATGGCCGTTACTTCTTATTCTTCGTTTTTGTAATCTTCAACTATAAGGCACTACTTTTACGAAGTTTATCCAAAATTTACGGCTTTTTCTTGTTTTGCCCTTTATCTTCACTCTAAATCAGTGAAACTCCTAGAGATGTTTTTTNTACGAATAGGTTCGCTGGAATAGCTCAGTTGTAATTGAACTGAAACGTTTCTGAGAAGTCCTGCTCACTGAACACAATCAGGTTCGGTATCTTGAAACTAGGCTGGTGGGCTGTTTATTTGCTTCTCAAGGTTTCATAATTCGTGGGTAAACACTCATTTGTTTACATAGGTATTGACTGAGAACTAGAGGATGAAAAAAGAGAAATGAACAGTTAAGAAGAAATGAAATTGATGAAATGGGAGTCACAGTTACCGCGTTACTAAGAAAGTGCGGTCGAGCAGCGAAAGAAAATTTTTAACACCTTGGCATATTTGAATTATCAGTCAACGTGTGTTTACTAGATCATTGGTTACTAAGGAACCGTGGAATGATCGGAAAATAATTTTTCCAAGCTAGAGAATGACGTCAACTACAGACTATACTTCATGATAAGCAAAAGAAAAATTTTTTGGTAATAACTAACAATCAACCAAGTAAAAACATGTAGTCACATAGACAAAATGGCAAACAGAAACGTGGTAGCCTGTTCATAAAATTTAAGCTTACGAAAAAGGAGACCTGAGCAATAAAGAGGTGAAAAATGGGTAATCAACATGCAAGGATAGTTCCTGCTTCACTTATTGTCTCGTTGATCATCGACTTCCTGGAGGAGATGCAGCAGCCCCTTCTTTCATCCCATCTCGTTCCAAATTAGTCTGATGGAACATTCTCGAGGGGCAAGAAGCGGGTTTTTCGTTTTCCTTGGAGCTTTCATGAAGAAGTGTGGCAATGGCCGTTCTGGGTGTACATTTGACATCCCGAGAGTTCTAACAGGAAGCCCACTGACTTGGCGTCGTACAAAATAGCATGAAGTCCCCGGGCTACTTGATGTTCCTTTCCTTGACCGGTACGGTGAGGTTCACGATCCCCGTGACGGATCTTGAAACTACAGATGCCTCTGTCTACTTGTACACATGGGGAGTCCGAGGAATTTTGATTCTGTCTTGAGCGGCGCTGCATGAATGCCTTCACTGCCCTCCCAAACCAATTCTCCACAGAGCAGGTTAGAGTAGTAACTACTTCAGAAACAGGATGTTGGCAACAAGCAGCTGTAAAAATGAAATTTGAACAAATGTTTACACATACAATAGTAAAAAAAAAGGAGTGAAACAAATAGAGAGACCAATGCAAGAAACCCTAGATAGGGGAACACGGGTTCTGAAAAAAGTTGTTAGGATGATTTAGTAAACGAAGGATCGCAAAGGTCCAGGCAGGTAAAAGAGAAGTAAAAAAGCGGAAAGCAAAGGGTAAACTAAAGAGAGGAATATGATTTTACCATGGCAAAATAGGGAGATACGAAATCAGGAATAAAGATTGTAGCTATGTATAGACCGACAAGCAACCCCACCTCTATCGAATGGAAGGTTCTTCAGCTTGATTTACAGCCAGAAAACTGNTAAACCAGTAAGTTGACCATTTGAGAGGGGAAGGTACTTATTCTACATTCTTTGGTCCCAAATTCGCAATGATTTCAGAAATCACATTCAAGTCTCATACGTTTCTGGATCAAAGCCAAATACGTGGCGTGTTCCTAGGAAAACTTGGGAAACTCAGAAGTTCATCATCATTCAAAATAAACTCCCATCAGCATGGGACCGTCTTCCTGTTTTCCTTATTGTTTTAATTTCTGGATCATTAGTAAGACTTCCAGGTAATACTCTAAATAAACTTGGTTCCAAAGCGTATTTTGCTCCTTTGTAAATAGTAAATATTGATTGGTGGTTCCGTGCAAGCACTGAATAGAGGTGCTCAATAGATTGTTTCCTGTTTTGCTTCCAATCCTACCTTCCAAAAGAATTTCACAATATTATGGATATACGGCTACGAGAAATACAATTATAATGCCCATATTTTTAAGCCAATCTGAGATTAAATATCAAAATACAGAGTAACTGACAAACCACTTGTAGTAAGTTGATGAAACCATGAAGGGTTCGTAGAAATTCAAAATTCATATTTCTGAAATGAATGAATCTCGAAATGTATTGGAAGTGTTGAAAGGATGCGACACAAATGTACAAATTACTGCTATCGCATAGCAACCAGTAAAGAGCTTCATAATAGCGGGTGAAGTCTCATAAAAGTACGTACACGAACACGATATGGACATTAAAATAGCGCCTAGCGGCATCGTCACTGCCAAGCGCATGATTGCTCATCGATGTTTGCTCTGTAATCAATGTGAGAAACCCACGTCAGGTCGTTTGGAACCACCAGGTACACCCCGGTTGCCCTAAAAGGCCAGCGAATGATGTAACAATGAGGGAATATTGTAGAGTAAAGCCGATTAGTTGACTGGTAGCCGATAACTCTACTGCAACATATGATCCAGTATCAGATAAGTTCCAAAGTTTATAGAGCTAGGGAAAGGTGGAGTAGCTGAAACTTCCCGTCGGCTTTGCCGCCAGGGGTTCATATTTGCACACTCCGCCCTTTTGCAGGATTGAACTGGACCCACTCAACGGCAACCCGGCTGCACACCTGCACTCCCATCATGACACAATTGTCGGTTCAATTGAGGTTTCACTAATCCGCTTAGCATTACATTTTCGCACAAAACCTCTGGTAATCGATATGTCGTTTTAACGACGTTTGAATGACGGTCTACGCCAGTCGCTCTGATAAGTGCCAAGGTGGACAGTTCATTGACAATGGCTGATTCATTCAACGTCACTCGACAAGTAGCTTCCTTAAAAATTGTAAAAAGATAAGAAATTCACCTGAAAAAGGCGTCATCAGCACGTGACCGTTTCGAGCCAACTTATTCCGAACTCTACTCGAATGAAACTATCTAAAATTAGTGTGTTAAAATGGACATCTGTAAAGCAACATTTCGTTGATGTCAAGCCAGGACCACAAGAACTCGATCAGTCCTTCGTATCAGAACCATTAGGTTTATCGGGAGCTCTGCCCCAAACAGTCACTGAATAATGTAAAATACTTGAATCCCTACACTTGCACTTGTAATCCATTGTCCTTTAATGATTAATGGGCCTTTGATGATTAAAAAGGATCTAGGAGACCCAGGTATTCAGAGCTCCCGGGGCAAAAAACGGCTACACAAAGAATGGATTTGCGCCAAAGCTGTCTCTTGCTTCTGTTCCACGTTCTGAAAAAACCCTGAGTTAGTGGAATAATCGTGTATATTCCTACCACACCGGGGACACTGTGAACCTTCCTTCCAATTTTTCAAAATACTGATGTAGATGATAGTTAGTAATGATAGCATGATCAAACAATAATAGTGGAGCACCTATATCCGGTCGCCTTCAGAAAAAAACACGCAAGTTCAGCTTCAGTCCAACAAAGACCTGTCTTCTTGGCGGAGAAGTAGGTGCAGCAGAGGCAAATGGTGCTGTTTGTGCTCACATGATTGGTTGCTCAGGTCTCAGATCAGACTTCGTCTAGACCGACCAAGCTTCCCACTATTCAAGAGTCGGCGAGTTGCCGGTAGGCTAGTCTGAGCCTCAGAGGATAAAAACACTGAAGTACACAGACATGAGACAGCTCCTCGACGCGTTGATTTGATTCACCTTCAAAATGTATTTAAAATTCTGATGGAAATTAATTGAGGGGGTGCACCCTGGGAGGGTTAACACTTGAAATCCTACCATTTCTGCCCTTTTGGTGTGATAAAGGGTAAATATCACAAGATAGGTTCCAGCATAAACAACCTCCTGTAATGAGGTGTTGCTGAGGGC